GTTGATCGTATTAAGTGTCAGTTCAGAACGAGGGAAGGAAAAAAGATTGTGCACGAGTTATCTTTCCTCATAGAGAAGAATCTGCCTTTTGATCTCATTCTGGGTATGGACTGGCACGAGGAAGCCAACCCGGATATCGATTTCAAAGGCAAGATTGTGCAACTGAAAGATGCACAATCTGAAATGAAACCAATTAAGTTATATTATAAGTCTGGCTCTGGCTTTAGTTTGTTTTTTTATTGTATGAGTTACCCAACTTTTCGTTCGATGGTTTCGAAGAAAAAGTTGGAACAGGAAGTCATGTTGGTATTGGTAAAGAAAAGCAGTGAATCTTCTTCTTCCTGCCCTCCAACTATTGAAAGTCTTCTTTCAAAATATAAGGATTTGCAACTTGAACCTACCGGAATTACTGAACATGCTATTAAGCACATGGTTGAAATCATTCCCGGTAGTAAAATTCCCAAGGGCCCTATCTATAGAATGTCTTCCAGGGAACTTGAGGAATTGAAGAAACAACTGCAAGACCTTACCGACAAAGGATGAATTCGCCCTAGTTCATCTCCCTATGGTGCACCTGTCTTGTTTGTGCCCAAAAAGTAGGGTGAATTACGTTTGTGTAATGATTATCGAGGGTTGAATGTCGTCACCGTCAAGAATGTCGAACCACTTCCTCGCATCGACGACTTACTTGACCAACTACAGGGTTGTAAGTATTTTAGTAAGATTGATCCGAAGTCTGGGTACCATCAGATCGAGGTGGAACCCGCAGATCAACACAAGACTGCTTTCCGGACCAGGTATGGCCATTACGAGTTCATGGTAATGCCCTTCGGATTGACAAATGCCCATGCAACGTTCCAATGGTCAATGAATGAATTCTCTCGTCAATGGTTGGATCAGTTCGTTATTGTCTATCTCGACGATATTCTCGTGTATAGTAAAACCTTAGAAGAACACGAGAAGCATCTTCGTTTGGTGTTAGATAAGTTGCGAGAGGGCAACTTTAAAATAAACCCAAAGAAGTCTGAGTTCGCTAAGTCTGAAGTTTTATACTTAGGACATATAGTGAACCAAGATGGCCTCAGGCCAGAGGAAAAGAAAATATCAGCAATTAGAGATTGGCCACAACCTAAGTCTATGACCGAGTTACGATCTTTTCTTGGTTTGGCAAGCTACTATAGGAAGTTTGTCAGAAACTTCTCATTGATCGCTGCACCAATGAGAAGATTGTTAAAGAAATGAACTATCTGGTTGTGGAATAAGGATTGTGAGTCTTCGTTTAAGAAGGTAAAGTATGCGTTAACTCACTACCCTGTTCTGAAAATTGTTGATCTGTCTCTTCCCTTTATCGTTACTACTGATGCAAGTCAGTATGGGATTGGCGCAGTCCTCCAACAAAACGACGACAATGGTTACAGACCAATTGAGTTTATGTCCACACGATTGCCATCAGAAAAGGTCGCCAACTCCACGTATGAAAGAGAATTGTATGCTTTAGTCTGTATGCTGGACACATGGAAACACTACTTGTTAGGGAGGCACTTCACTGTGTACTCAGACCACTCGACACTCAAGTGGATAAAGACACAGCCTAGACTCTCTGATAAGTTAGTACGATGGTCTGCATTCATTGACACTTTTGATTTTGAGTTAAAAACTATCAAAGGAAAGTCTAACGTGGTTGCAGATGCATCGTCTAGAAGATGTGATTTCTTTGGTGCTATTGTCTCTTACCTAGATTTTGGGAATGATTTGAAAGATAGAATTCGTCAAGGATATGCCATTGACCCTATCTGGAAACCTATTATGGATGTCCTTGCAAAAGACCCAACTCTACTTTCCAACTGTAAGGTAACCGATGGTTTGCTTTTCTTGTTAGACTAAAGTGAACAGAGATTGTGTATTCCTCACCAGGAAGAAATTAAAAGTCTGCTGATTGGGGAATGTCACGATGTTGAAGGTCATTTTGGTTTCAAGAAAACTTACGCTGAGGTTAGAGAACGCTTTGAGTGGAAAGGATTGAAAGAAGACGTACTAACTTATGTTCGTACATGTCTTGTGTGCCAGAGAAACAAACCCTCACATGAGAATCCACTTGGTCTTCTGAAACCATTACCGATTCCAAGCGGACCAGGTGAGTCTATCTCGATTGATTTCATGAGCCTCACCAAAAGTCGGAATGGCAATAGTCAAGTATGGTTATTGTGGATCGTTTCTCTAAGTATGTCATGTTTATTCCCTTACCCGCAGACGCACTAACTGAACTTGTGATCCAAAAGTTTCAGATGCGATGGGTGACTGAGTATGGTTTCCCTCTCTCCATTGTATCTGACTGTGATGCTAGGCTCACGAGTATGCCATGGCAAAAGCTGATGGAAGCATACGGTACACATTTGACCATGTCGTCAGGGCGACACCCTGAAATGAATGGACAAAGTGAACAGATGAACCGTTTGTGCCAGCAGCTTCGGCGCATCTATGTGAGACCCGATCAGATTGATTGGGATGAGAACTTACCCAAAATAGCAAGAGCATACAATAGTAGTGTCCATACCGCTACAGGGCGAACACCAAATGCATTGCATAAGGGGTGGAAACCTAAGCGTCCCATTGATGTGCTGACAAGGGACCAATTCCTTAGGTTACCTCCAAGGACTCGGGAATATGCAGTATTGTTCCAAGCAGACATTAAGAAAGTAAAGGATAATATAAAGAAAGCTCAGGACCGGATGATTGAACAAGCTAATAAGCATCACCGACCATCGACATTCCAGGTAGGTGATCTCGTCCGGGTGAAGTCCAAAGAGTTTTCACTAGAAGAAGATGTGTCTCAGAAACTATTGCCTGTCTATTTTGGACCCTGGGAAGTTCTTAAAATAATTGGGGATGCAGAGGGACCGTCTTACCGAATTGATATTCCCCCTCACCTCAAAACATATTTTGTCTTTCACGCGTCCAAATTGCTACCTTATGTAGAAGGAAATGAGTTCCCACATAGACCGTCTATGATTCCGCCAGACATGGATGGCGGATATGAAGTGGACAAAATCACAGAGCATGGGTACTTTTCTACAAGTGCACGTGGACGACCTCAGAAGTAGTTCAAGGTACGTTTCAAGTCTCAAGCACCATCTGAGGACAGATGGTTTACTAAACGAGAACTACTTGAAACTGCTCCTGATATTGTCGCTGCTTATGAACGAGGATTAAAGTCTTAAATATTTCTGCGGTGGAACTCGAAAATGGGCTGGCAGGAATGCAGTAACCCTGTTCAGAAGTAGCCTGGGGCTCAGAACTCAGCCCAAGGAAACACAGATCTGAGTTGGTCTGCGCTGGGCTGTGTGACCAAGACACGCCCAGTCCTGAGTCTGTCGAGTGTGACTGTGTGACCGAACGCTGCACAGGAAATTCAAGAGTCAAAGTCAATTGTAGAGTCAAAGGTACCGCACCCAGGCCCTTGGTTGGATACACTCACTTGTTGTGCGCAGGTACCCAGACAGCATCCTGGGCGGAGGGAATTCGGTTTCAGGCCAATCTGGGCCCTCATTCGCATTGAGATTTGGACGGCTGAAGGATACAGCATCCAGGGTCCAGACCCCGCGTCAACACTACATAAGAGCTGACTTCCTGGCTTTGACATTCATTCAGTCTTGCATCAATGCTGGCTTCACGCGTTGACTTTGACGCTGGTGCGACGCTGCGACACTGGCTGGACGCTGGCTCTATGCTGGCATATGAGAAGAGACGGCGACGCGCTGCTGGCTGGCATGGTGGCTGGCTGGCAATTGTCTTCCTGGCATGCTGACGTGGCAGCTGCCACACGCCGCCGCTGACGTGGCTGCTGCCACATGTACTCTGACGTGGCGGGGCTACGTGATTGATAGTGCTGTTCTGATTCATCGTCACTTAGGAAGGAGATCAAGACTGTGGGGTTATAGTAAATACGTACCTGGTATCTTGATGTCGACATTATCCAGTTCGCTGATGAAGACAGGCTGACGTGCCACGTGGCACATTGAGAGAGAACTTCAGATTTGTGTTCGGGTTATTGATTATTGAGGTGGCGAGAGAGGAGGTAGCCCGAAGCAGGAGTGGGCATTGTTGATTTCTCCCCTCTCAATCTATTCTCCCCTCTATCTCCTTCGTCTGTGTATGATTTCCCATCTCATTCTATCTGGACACAATTATGACTATTTGACATTCATCAGCAGGTTGATATCTATATGGGCTGGCATTGTTGACAAGTATCTTCGCCATCTGGGTTCATTGCACTTCTTCTTCTTTCTTTCTTCTTCTTCTTCTTCTTTTAACCTTCTCTCTCCTCTCAAGTGCATTCATTTCTTTCTGCAATTGGACGGCATTGTACTATCTGATGAATATGTATCTCGAAATTGGCCAGGATCATAACAATCCTGCCTTTCACGCAATTTGTGAAACAAGTGAAGAGCTCAGAAATTCACTTCGTGTGCATCAGTGTATTGATTGCTCGACTAGATTGTGTAAGCGGTTGGTTCACTAAGTGGCTGCAGATTCAAAGAAATGGAACAGTTGTGGCACAGGCATGTACACTCAAATACCTCTTTTGCTGTGACACTGCGAGTTCTGTTCATCTCTCCGTTTACTTCCTTAAACCACTAGTGTGTTTCCCAGCTCCAAGTACCTTTGACAGCTTTTTTATTATGAATGAATTTAACTGGGCGCAGGCAGGCCCGTACATCTACCAGTCTGTTAACCGGCACACCTTGGTCGCGGACTGGTGGTTTAAGAGGGGGTCAATTGCATCTGAAGTTTTGGAATTTAGATTTGAACTGTTCGCCTGCAGATTAGCAGGTTTAGGAATGTGCCATTCAGCGACCAGGCAGGTCTTTGAGTTCTGTTCGTCATCTCACTGGTTAGTTCCCCTTTGATTTTGCCATTTCCTCTTTGTTCGCTCGGCGAGGTCGAATCTCACTTATGTTGTCATTGATTTTGTCATTTCCTCTTGTTTTTCTGTAATGCAGGCGAGCCTAAGGCAATTCCCTGGACACATGCAACGCCTATCAAGGCTGCAGCAGATGCATGGGCTCATCAGGATGTGCGCTCCGGAGATGTGATTTCGTGGCCGACAAATTTGGGATGGATGATGGGCCCCTGGTTGATTTATGCTGCTCTTCTGAACAAGGCCACAATCGCCCTGTTTAATGGAAGCCCTCTTCATTCATCTTTCGGGAGATTTGTGCAGGTATGGAGAGGAAGGAACATAAGGGCATGTGATTGCCATCATATACATCCTGGAAAGTTCTTGAGTAATTATCCCCTAACTACAGCTGCAGCATGGTCTATATTTGCAAACGTCCATACATTGAACTTGATTCTCCCGGTTGTTGGTGTTGCGGTTCCCCTTGCTGCTGGATGTTGTTGCGTGTCGACCATGATTTGGCCATCATCCAAAATAGTTCTTGCATGTTGTGCGGCGTGGTAGTTTTGGGTAGCTGTCGTATTCAGTGCAGGCCCAGAGAGGTCCACGGCAACCCTTGGTGCGTGAGCAGTTTGACCACCCACTTGGTTTGAAGAGCTTTGATCTGCACGACGGGGTCGAGGATTCCTAGGGCCCCCTTGCCTTTTGGCTGCACCACATGAGACCAAGCCAGTTTTGGTTTGAAGTTCTGTCTTGTCGGATTCCCTGTCCAAAGGTAGGCCGTGGCTCACCGTTTGAGAGTGTTGGCCATATTTTGTTCCGGTGTCCAGATGGTGGCTACATACCAGAGCATGGAGAAGATGGATGCGTTGAGCATTAAGATCTGGAGAGAGATCATCCTGTCCAAAGTCTGGAAGCCAGCGAACAGGGAAGAGGTTCTGTGTCAGCCCCTCTTCTGCAACCAATGGCTGAAGGACCCGACGGACAAGCCGTGGACGCTAATGTCTCAGGATGCCAGATGGATATCACGGTTGGAGCAAAGCGTGTGGCAGATCCAACACCTCTGGAACCAGCAACACAGCCGCTGGAAAATGTACACAGAGCTTAGAGAACCGCTCAAAGGAGGTCACAACCTGCAAGCCGATTTTGATGCCCTGCTGCAGTCAATACCGCCTGACTGGCTGACGCTGCTGCAAGCACCATCGGCATGGAAGTTTGGGGACTGGGCCACATGGACCTGGGAGACCACCCCCACAGTCGCACTGGCTTATTTCAATGCCACAGGTCCAGCAGGGGGTTGGGCATTGTGTACCATACACGATATTCACCAGCCGGGCAGGACCGTCAGCGAGGTTAACAAGACAGTACGCGCTCGCGTCACAGCCAAACCAACCCTTCTCCGCAAAGTCCGAGTGGCAGAGGACGATTTTTATAGAATCTACAGCTCCACGACACGGCCACAGGACTTGGAGCTCGACCTGGGGGAGAGGGCCTGGAAGATGGTGGGCACAACAACAGACACCGAGCGGCGAACTAACATCCTGGACTATACCACACACCTGGGCTACAGACTCAGGAGGAGAGCGGTCAACACCAACGACATCCTGAGCCAAAGATGGGAGAAACATCTCCCGGGGAGCTTACAAGGACACATGGCGCTTCCATGGCAAGTCCTCCTCACCATAAGAAACACTAGCATCCGAAGTATGCAATGGCTCATCAGTCAACAAGTGGCTCAGTAGACGACGCAGGGCGGCAGCCAGGCGAGACTTTGATGACGCCTGCGCAATTTGTGACGATGGCTTACTGGAAGACCTGCCCCACTGCCTCCTGAACTGCCCGAAAGCGCGGCAGCTATGGGCCAGGGCGGAAGCTCTGTGGACGACAGTGAACACTGTACCGCTGCCGAACAATCCGACCACTCGCCTCACGGGATTGTCAGAACCAAGGTTCACAGACAAGTGGCAGAGGACCCTCTTCCGGAGGCTACGCATGCTGACACTATGGCCCATGGGTAATCTGGAAGACGCGATGCAAGGAAACTATGGATGCCCAAACCGTTTCACCAGCGGAAGCATCGGAGACTGTCACGCAAAACTTGCGGACTGAATACCAGGCCGATGAAAGTTTGAGGTTCTGCAACGACCGAAACCCTGTAACTACAACGGTACTACAACCAAAAAAAGTAGAACAGCTTGAACAAGGCAAAACCAACATTCTACGTATAAGTGACTGAGTTTGAAGCTCAGCAGCGACCGAAACCCTGTCTCTACATTCTTCATACCACAAAAATGCAATAAGGGGCCAGACATCGACCGGTAGAAATACCCTGTCTGTACACTCCTCATCATGTCTGGTCCGCTCCTACTGTGCATATACTGCCATATAGCCACTTGACTGTGTTTGTCAAATCCGATCTTTCCCTTTGGCTAAGCGTCGCCGTACCCTCCACAAAGCACGAGGGGAAGTCTTTCATCTGTGATTCATGAGTCAGACTCAAGACTCTCATCGGGATCTGAGATCTGGTATTTGTGTTTTTAAAGTTTTTATCAATTCTGTGCAGATGACTTGAGATAACAACGCTTTTTTGCTTCTTACTCCCCCATGAATGACAGGACTGACCCGATTTGAACTCCAACATGTCTCCCTCCCAGATGGTACGCTCATTCTTAGCGAACTGATAACAACCAATGCGCGGTGGAATCGTGTTGACAGACATTCTGATCCCCCAAAAATTTCGAGAATCCGTTTCATCATCTGCCCGTTTCAATTGCAGATTCAGTGGGTAGCCGTGTTCAAACCGCTCCCTGATGCTGTCCACAGACATATCGCTACACTTACGATTCAAGACAACCAAACTCGCATCGTCCATGAGGCGCAGGGCCATACATATCCTGTCTGGCCGTCCCCAAACGTCGCAAGAAACGAAATTCCACACATGGACACATGATGCAGGCCAGTGGGGGGCTCGTGATCTTTCCCATGAGGATCCCCACCACTTGCTTAAGAAGCACCCCAGTAGCTTTAGTATAGGTGTGCTTGAGCTCAAGCGCACAAATTGCTTGACTTGCTGCAGATCAACAGAGCGCCAGTGGTCATCACCTGTAGAAAGTTGCCCCAAATACGGGTATAATGACTGGGCGTTCTACTGGGAACAAGCTACAAAGCCCGGCAGCTGCACTACACACTGAATAGCAACAACTAACTCCTCCTGGCCATGTACTGAATTTTGGTGACAAAAATTACCATAAAAGGGCCTTTACCCAATGTAGGCCTCAGGCCTTGTAAAAGTAAAGCAACATGGGCCTTGTAAAAGTAAAGCAGCCTGAAAGGGTATCTCGCCAGGGCTCAGAAACGTGAAAGCAGGTCAAAGGTCAAGACCTACGGGCACATCCAAATCTAAAGCAAACAGCATTATCAAAGGACTTACCTGTTCACCAAAAGATGTGCATGTCATGTCTGTTCGGGTAAGGGTGTGTCTGTACGTGCAGACAGTGTACCTGTTCGTGCGAAGGAAAGTGTCTGTTCAGGCAGTAAATGTGTCTGTTCGTCTAGAGTTGTGCCTGTCCGAAAGTGAAGTCAATAGGTAAAGTCCCAGTTCTGATCTAAGTCAAGGGGACAGTCCAGATCCAGACTTTCAAGTCCAAATCTAGGCTGAGGGGCCTCAGCAGCAGTTGAACCTCATTGGGACTATACTGGGACACATGCAATGCAGGGTCTGGGACAAAGGAAAGGCTGGATTGAGCCAATGCAGACCCAGCGAGGAGTGGCCAGAACTATAAAAGAAACTGCCAACCTCATTCCTCGCCAGATCTCCACTGGCCATTTCTGCGTGGAAGTGCTGGTGCACTTGTGCGCTGAGTCAGGAGGAGCAGCGCTGGAGGATGAAGATGCGCTGAGTGAGGGAAGAAGCCTGTACGCTGGAAGAGATGCAGCCATAGCTACCCAGTGAGTTAGCATTAGTAGTAGAGGGTTAGTACTTTAGCTATGAGTAGTATTCAGAGTAGATCCTCATGAGTGAAGAGTGTGTATGCATCATAGGAGGAAGGGACTGAGGCTGAGAGTGTTCGTTCAAGGTTTGGATATGGAAGATACCTGAGTTGGATGTGAACTGCAGAGGTGGCGCTGATGAGTAGTGACCACATTGATGACTTGGAGACGATCTGCGCTGATGCAATGGAAGTCATATTGATGAGTTGACAAGAGCTGTGTGTTGCGCTGATGAGCGCTGGACTCAGGGGAACTTTGAGACACTTTGTAATCATATTTTTGATAATATAAGCTGTGAAACTCGGTCCTCTTCTCATCTACCTTTGTCTATGACTTGAGACTGCTGATCATTGTGTGTGAGGATGATGCATGACATGTGCACTCTTGCGTGAGTTGGTCCCCAGGACCCATGCAACCACAAGGAAAGACAGAAAAACAGCGTCCTTGGACTGCACCAATCCATATGCTCAATGCTCAATGCTCATCCAATTTCTCATGGATTTCCATTTCAAGTTTATGACAGTCATATGGTTTGAAGAATAGGCACATTGAAATGCCATCATGACAACAGGAAGGATCATCAGAAGTGAAGATCAGGGCCATGTAGACTTCAAGAGGTGCAATCAATCAAGAATCAAGATCATAAGCATCCATCAGCACGACAACCAGGAGATCAACAACCACGAGAATTCAAAGATCATGGCCATCAGTTGGAAATTTGAAGTAGGGATAGTGTTTGTTAGGGTTAGGGTTTTTTAGTGTTTTTGAGTTTTTTTATTTTGTTTTCTTTTGCGTTTTTTTTTTTTTTTTTTTTATGTTTGTATTATGAACCTGCTGTAATAACCCACTGCATTGTTTGTTTCCAAAATTTTGCACCACGTTGCTTCTGGCGATGCGCCGAAAAACACTGAATTTCCGGCCTTCCATTAACCCTCTCTCTCGCATACGACATATCACAGAAAAAAAGAAATCAAGAAAAATAAAATAAAAATGCAGAAAATCTTCAAAATCAAGGCAATATGGCAGTTCCGCACTGTTCCAGTGAAAAATTCGACGAAAATGACACCACCTATTAACCACGTGTGGAGATGGTCGGATTCGCTTCTATCAAGTTCGTCATGCTGTTCAATTAACATGAATAATCAAGGACTATAAGTTGGTAGAACCACTGAACCATTGGACTCCAGAATTTGCATTTCCTTTTTTGTGGTAGCACAAATTTTGCTTTTTTGGGTGCAAAAAAGCGAAGAGTGTGTGGCCTGACCGTTAAGACTCCGTTGTACTGTTGGGAGCTTTGCCCCAGTTCACCTGCAGTTTGAAGGTTGAGGATGGCATACTTTGCCCAGGCACCCTCTCAAACCCCCCATAACAGTAATGTTGCTGACATATGTGGCTTTTTGTTCTTAGGAAACTGGAGTGACGATGCTTGGATTAATACCCAGTATTGTGAAAGGCTGGAAAAATACGGGCTGTATTGATCAGGTGGACTGGAGCAAGATCAGGTCACTGTTTTTCCTTTCGCATAGTTCCAATCCTCCTCCTCCTCCCCCAGCGGGCACACTCCTCTCTTCTTGTTCTTCTTCACCCTCCTCCAGTGGCAGAGTCTTCTTCTTCTTCTTGATCTGTGCGCGCTAACACCCCCCTCCCCCCCTTCTCCCTTGCCCTTCAGTCTTCTTCTTCTTCTTGCTCTGTGCGCGCAAACACCCCCCCTTCCCCCCTTCTCTGTTGCCCTTCAAACCCTCGTACCCCTATCTGGCCAACATACCCTCACTGACTACAGTTTTAGCCCTGTTGGGCTTGTGTCAGTCCACATTCAAGCCCTGGTTTTGAGAGAAGGTTAATGGAGGCCTGAATTTTCAGAAATTTCTCATGCCATTTATAGCCTTTTTAATGAAACTTGTCACCCATACATAGAGTGCATACAATAAATAGGGGGTCCCTATTAACCATTAATGGTGACGTTGGCTGGGATGCAATTGTGGTCGAAATGATATCTGATGCATGCACATTTGTTAATAGGACAGAAGAACATCAGCATTTCCCCTGAAGTTAGGAACCTGAAGCCCGCCCCCGCTCCCCCCCCCCCCCCCCCCCCCCCCCCCCCCCCCCCCCCCCCTCAGGGATCACTTGCAGAAGAACCCCAATTTGTCACTACGAAGTTACGAATTAACCTTTATAGATTAGAATTAAAAAAAAAAGAAAAAAAAAAAGAGATCAGAATCATGAAACTAAGGTAGATCCTGAGAAGCAGAACAGCTCCTCACATGAGGTTGGTGGCCTCCTCACATAATGAAAACAGTGTTCTTTTTCAGACTCTGTTCTCATGACCACCATGTCGGTACCTACTGAGCAGACAGACCACCTCCTCTGTCACCTTTGTATGCATTCCAGTTTCTACGCCCACATTCTCCTGCCATGATTGGAAGAGCATTGGAAGCTTTTAATTGAATCTTCTACATGTAATGACTTGCAAAATCGCAGACTGAGAAACTTGCTGTTTTCTTAGTTTTGCAGCTTGTTTGACTGACGTGCTGAGATTCCCGTATTCTGCAGAGATTTCTAAGTTCGTGTGTGTGCGTGATTGCTGAGTTCCCGTGTGTTTGCCTGCCCGTATTCTGCAGAGATTTCTAAGTTCGTGTGTGCTGGAAAGGTCCACGGGCCTGGTACTTACCTGTGGCTGTGTCGTGTGCCGGTTGCAGCGGGGTATTACCGTATTAGTGAGGGGTGGGCCCGCGGAGGCTGGAGACACTCAAGTAGCGGTAGGTAGGCAGAAAAAGACAAAGAGTTTGTACCTTTAGAGGCCGAGGTAGAATTTAGGAGTCCGGTAGGCTTAGAGGCAGAGGTACTGGTCCAGCAGTCTGACTCTAGAGCCTGCGGAGGGGAATATCAGACTGCAATGAGGTTCACTCCAATTCGAGGAGGTACTGGGTAGGCTTGGAAGCTGCACGGCCTAGAAGCAGCCGCGCGAGGAGGCACTTCGGTATATCAAGTGAGGAGGCAAAGTGCTCAACCTCATTTGCGGGCGTGCAGCTTGGGGGCACGCTGCTGGAGCAACCACCCAGCTAAAGCAGCACTGGGTGAGGAAGAAGGTGGGCTGGCCTCCCACCTTGGCTATGGTGGGAAGGACCAAGGAGGAGCACAGAGGGAGGAGGAGGAACAAGAATAGTGAAGAAGGAGCCCACCTTGGCTATGGTGGTCTGCATCTTCATCTTCTTGCTTGGCGCTGCACCTGGGACACCCCAAGTGGGGTAATACATTGAAGGAAGACGCCGAGGGTAGTCTTAGGCCTGGTGGCCATAGAAGGAGAGGAATAGTAGCTTTGCATTGTACTCTGAACATCAGAGCTATGGCTAAGGTCGACTTTTTCAGTGGCGGGCAGTAAGCGGAGGATTTTGGACATTAGTTATGGTTCATTCTTTCATTGGTATTATTCATGCGATGCTGGGGGAGTTATTGGAGGATGAAGATGGTGGCGAGTTGAAGGGGGATTGACATTTGTTGTTGTTGTTGTTGTCGTTGTCATTGTCATTGTCGTTGTCGTTGTTGTTGTTGTTGTTGTTGTTGTCGTTGTCATTGTCATTGTAATTGTCGTTGTCGTTGTTGTTGTTGTTGTTGTTGTTGTCGTTGTCATTGTCATTGTCATTGTCGTTGTCGTTGTTGTTGTTGTTGTTGTTGTTGT